CTGTGCCTCTAGCTCGGCCTTAATAATTCCCAAATAAAGCCAAATCCAAAGGAGTATTTAAGAGGACTTTGTACATCTGTACTTTGATTAAATGATCAGATTTGGAGCAGGGCTGGTTATGTATTTGGGCTGCATTACTGCTCTCAAAGTCTCTGCATTACAGGCTCTTAGGAGCATGTGTCCTGTACACTATAGCTTTAGACCGGAGAAAAAGCTGGTGAGGTAGTGTACTATTATGTTGCTTAAATGCACACTAGATCTTTTGACTGTTGGGGAGAATAAAGGCAGAGAGTGAAAAGCTCTCCCACCCACAACTGACTCTTTTTGTTGCGTTGCCTCTGGCACAACGCTGACTTAATATCAGCTGTGTGTGTTTTGTTAAACACATTCAAATCAGGAGTACTCAGGCCTATGGGACATAACAGGGTTTCTCATATGGTGACACGTGAGCACAAAAGCCGTGCGGGGTTAGCAGGTTCATGTTCAAAAGATCGCCACGGAATCAAGTCTTTAATGGAGGCAGAATCGCAAGAGCAAGATCACGTATTTGAACCCAGTGTTTTTCCTCATATTTAGTCGTACGTTTACAGTGAAGTACGTGGGAATATCCACAAAAACCCATGGAATATAAATTTAATTAGAGGAAACATGTTTACCCTTAGTTATTTGCAGAGATGCTTTTGTCTGAAATGTTTACCAGTGGAATTGAGGCCCAGTGGATGGTAGAGATGCTGCTTAGAGGGTGCAGTGACGCTGTTAATACAAGAGAAGTGAGTTTTGTGAGATTATCTAATTTTAGTTAACATCTGAGTAGGTTGTTATTTTAATTATTATCCATTATTGGGAAATAAAACCTCCTTTGCGTAGTGAACCTCAATTTTAACAAACAATACATCCATCCATCCATCCATTTTCATCCGCTTATCCGTTACCGGGTTGCGGTCGCCACCCAAATCACATTGCACCGTACCAGCCCCCCCCCCCCAAACCTTCCTGCAGGTGGTGAGTCCACTGGAAGGTACAAACAATACACATTATTGGAATACAGCGGGACAGATCAGCGGACCTCTGCTCTATATCCAGCCATTACGACTTGATTCATTTATTTGTAATTGCTGTCTGGCTGCATTCTTGCTGTCCGACCTGTGGAGAAGTGAGAGGTGAAGCGTGTCTTCTCTTCCAACCATTAGTCAGTCACAAATCAGAGACAATCACAGGGCTTCATAGCAGATTATTCAGATGTATTAGGACTCGGAGCTCTATTAATGTAATCCCTCTTGTTTTAGAGTGGCTGGGGTTTAGGACATGTACACACACACATGCGCGCGCACACACGCAGACATTGAATATATGCATGCACGAACACATTCAAGCTGCTTGGGTTACAGAGTTCACAATCAATGGATTAAGGTGAAATTTACACAGTAGCTTAATGGACACGGCACTGGTATGTTCTCTGAATAATCACACACACACACACACAAATATGTTGTCTGTGTTCACAAAGTACTTTTCCTCCTGTCATTTATCCAGTTATTGTTTCCATTTTCCCGACTTATTTTTCTGAGTCTACATTGACCTTTTTATACACGATCTGCTGCATTTTCCTCTGATTTAAAACCAAACGTGTCTTTTAGGGCTGATGAGATTGAGATGGTGATGACAGACCTCGAAAGAGCCAATCAGGTAAATGAGTTTGACGTCTTTCCAGGAAATTTCATCCAACTTTGTCAGAGTTTAATGTGTTCAGAGTTGTAATAATGATTCATCTGCACCAGTTGTTTGATTGGATCGACTGCTAACTAAAGTCAGTCTCTAACAAATAAACATTTTTGATTCTGGTGCAAGTGTTTTGCAGTTAAAGAAATCAGTTATTTGTTTTTGTTTTTTAACAACTGGTGTTTCAACATGTTTACGACCAACCTAGTGAACACATCCAGCTGAAGAAAGCCCCCCGGAGCAGCCTCTGCCCCCGCTGTTAATGTTCCTGTGGTATCTGTTAATGTCAATGTTGTTAACTTTCATTATTAGCACAAGAGTGTGATTTGTGGTAAAAGGGTAGCATAGGCATGTAATGTTAATATTAGCCTAGAGGTGACCACTCCAACAATAACGCCACACACACTGACGCACACACACACACAGAATTCACACGTCTGATTTGAGATTTACAGAGGATGACAGCATGGCCTCCAGCTCAGTCAGAGACTTTTAATACACTTTTATAAGGAGAAAATGGAAAACATGATTTTTCTTCTGGTGACTAGCAGCCAACTCTCAGCCAGTCAAAAGTAGCACACAATATGGTTGCAATTAGGAACGCAGTGGAATCAGCTCCCTTTTACTCCTAATGATGGCAAGTTGGCCGGTGCTGCAGATGATTCCCTCCTGGAGTTTGGTCATAAATACCAGACAGTGGGTGATGTCTCAATCCTCTGGACTAATTCATCATTTAAAATGAAAGATAAATCCACTCTGGTCATTATCCCACTCTCTTTGTAATGTAGGGCAGTTCATGTTAGAGTTGAATGTTGGTTTCTACAGAAACACATTTGTGACCAAGTGTTAGGTCCAACGGAGCGTTTGATTTTTGTTCATACCTGTGTATCAGGGTTATGGAACTTAACATTCAGATTTTCTTTTTTAATATATTTTGTGGTTTTCCTGTACAGCGGGCAGAAACTGCTCAGAGGGAGGCAGAGTCACTCAGAGAGCAGTTGTCCTTGAGTAACCAGTCTCAGCAGCTCGGCAGCCCCGACAAGTCCGACACCATCACGGTAAACCTGCGGCACGGATTGATTCTTTGATTGATGTCGTGGTGGCCTCAAAGATCATTCTGTATAGATGGAAATCTCTGCAGGCCGCGGTTGTCAGTTTTCTCACATTGAACCTTATAAAATCCAGTAACAGTATGGATGCACTAACACCAGTATTGTACCAATGTGTTTAGTAAGTATAGCTAGACTAAGTCATATTTGGTTCATCCAAACCCTCAGTGATGTACAGTGAATTCTGATTATTCAGCAACTATTGACTGTTACATATTGCTGGTTTTCAACCATTTCCTGAAACTCATACCAGTTTTGTGATGGAACCTGCAGGAACAGGAAGCTGAGGTGACATCCCACTCAAGCCTGGAGGCAGAGCTCAGAGCCAAAGAAAGGGAGACGGCTCAGCTGGTGGAGGATGTCCAGAGACTGCAGGCCAGCCTGACCAAACTCCGAGAGACCACCAGCTCCCAGATCTCACAGCTAGAGCAGCAGCTCAGCAGCAAGACTGCCGTCCTTAAGGTGCTCTTTATGTTTTTGTCTTTATTTTAAAATAATCTGTTCTGATCTGGTGTTTCTCAAGGCTACAGCTGTATCAGTAATGTGGTTTTATGGCATTTAATACAGTTTTTGTTATTTTCAGGAACTTGAAGAAAAACTGAAGAAACAAGCTGACTATGAGGAGGTGAAGAAGGAGCTGAGGTGAGGAGTTCATAAAAAATCTTTCCTATCTCTTATCCTTTTGTGTTACCTGCACATATTTTTAAAGCACTGTTACCAGGGTTTTATTAAATTGACATCTTACTTAATATCTTATCTTTGTTTTGTGATTTTGTGCTTTCTTTAGTTCACATTGTTGTTCTTCTTCTGTTTTCTCAGTATCCTCAAGTCCATGGAGTTTGGAACATCTGACTCTGTTCAGGTAATCATTTTGCAAACATCTAAATTCTTAATACAAACCGGATATCTTCATGGCTGTAACAAAATATTTTTGATCATCATTGCTAAAATCCTTGACCCATCAGGACTCATCCAAACCACTGGAGGTGCTGTTGCTTGAGAGGAACCGTAGTCTTCAGTCTGAAAGTGCTGCTCTGCGCATCGCCAACACGGAGCTCAGTGGTAAGTCAATCTAAAAATAGCTTTTTCCGGTGTTCACTGTCCACTGATTTTTATAATATATGGCGTCATCAATAACAAGGTGTTATTGATTGATTATATTTCTCTGAGAATACTTACCTATTTATCCATGGTAAAGGAGTGACTTTTGGTATTTCCTTTTCAATACAATCCTTTATTATCGTCTGCGTACACAAGTGCTCTATGGTACATTTTGAGCGTCATCCTGAAATGAAACAGAGTAACGGTTGCAACACACAATGGTGACACCTTGCCCTCTGCAACTGTGTTTATGGTTTTGAAATGTCATGGCTTTAGGCTTGAATAGCTGAATAGGTTTGAATTGATTAACATTCACAGAAGGGGGCCTTAACTGTCCAACTTAATCACGTTATGTCTTAATGGTTATGCATTTAAATTCCTCCAAGCACTTGTCAAAATGGGTCATTTATTTGGAATTCTTAGTAAAAATAATTGTGATTTAATTTGTTTTGATGGATGTGAAATGTTAATATCTTGCTGCCTTGGTGCTTGTTTGTGTTTCATCCCAGGCCATAAAATGTTATATTTTCAATCTTGTATGTTTTTTCATGAACTTTATACTGCATGTCAATAGAGCAGTTTGTGTAATGAACACATTCCAGCAGCACTGAAGAGGACTGTCATTGCGTGTTGGCCATCTGAGGACATTATTTCACTTTGTTTGCAAGTGATAAAGAGAGAGAGAGACAGACGAAGGCTCGGCTGAGCCAATCTGTCTAAGTTGCAAACTGGTTTTGTTTGTCCTTTTTTCTTCCAGGCTGTGGCTTACAAGAAAGGTTGAAATCACAAATGCATGGGCACTTTGTCTGGGGGGGTTGGCAAAAAAGGAGAACTAATTTATAAAAGACCTTATGGAGACAACTTTCAACTTTTGTAAAAAATTTTTAACTGTCCCTTTTGGAACCCCTTTTTTGTTGACTCCCCCATAATGCATTATGTGTTTGACCTTTCTTGTAGGGTCAGCCGGGCGAAAAGGGACAGAAGAGTCGGCAACGAAGGAGGAGACCCTCCCCAGCGATCCTCCTTCCTCGCCCCCTCCTCCTCCTTCTCTTCCTTCCTCCTCCCAGCTCCCAACATCTCGCACTCTTACGGATTCCCTCAACTCCACCACCACCACCAGCAGTGGTGAAACGCACGCTTTCACTCCTACAGGCATTGGCCAGGACTTCTACTCCCCTGTGTTCCCCCTGGTTGGTGGTAAGATGGCTTTAAACTCCCTGATCCAGCGGCAGCTGCTCCAGACCTTCTACTCCAAAGCCTTGCAGGAGTCGTCTGGAATCCCCAGTGGGGCTCTACTGTTCACTCCCTTCACTCCTACTCTCAGCTCCATTCCTACCTCCAACCCTGGCTCTGGTTCTGCTGCCATCCCACTGGCGGCCAGCAGCCCTCAGCCACCTCCAGCCAGCCCAGACATGGCTCCCGTCAACGGGAGCAGCACTGCCGGCAGCGCTCCATCCCCGTCGCCCAGTCACTCCGACGCTACCACCGGAAGTGTTCTGGACGGGGAGGATATGGACACGGCAGAGATTGCCCGACAGGTGAAAGAGCAACTGATAAAGCACAACATCGGCCAGCGCGTGTTTGGCCACTACGTGCTGGGACTGTCCCAGGGTTCGGTCAGCGAGATTCTGGCCCGACCAAAGCCATGGAACAAGCTAACCATCCGAGGGAAGGAGCCCTTCCACAAGATGAGGCAGTTCCTTTCCGATGAGCAGAACATCCTTGCACTACGCAGCATCCAGGGACGGCAGAGAGGTGAGTTTCCACATCTTCCGTTTGCAAGCTGGTGTGTACATGCAGGTGTGCTTGTGTTCAGGTGTCTTGCATGTGTGTGTGTATGTGTGCGCGGGTGTGGTAAATGTCTACAGTCCTGCACAGACAACATTGATTGGCTTGTCAATATGGACTAGCTTTTTATTTTAATTCTCTTTCCTGACTCCAACCCTGTGTGTTTGAGGGAGTCACGCACCTATCCCAAGAGACTCTGTTAGCTATTGTGGTCAATACAGAAACCTTTCACGCATCAATAGTATGGATTGCTGGGAGGGAGGCAGAGGCACTGTCAACTACAGGTAGATTCGATTAGCCTGGGCCTGCTTTTGTTAACGCATCAGGACATTTTTGATTGAAGGTGGTCTCAGTGGTTAAAGAAAATCAACTACCACCAAGACCATTTCACCTTGAAAATGAGGGCTTGGTGTGCCTCTGATTAAAATTTACACTCCAATGATTCGTCCTCTGCTAGAATCTATGGAATAGAGGCATAGAGCAATAGTATAAATATTCTGATGTCAGGTTTTGTGGAAAAACAAACTGTCAATGTTTGGTGTGTCCATTATTATCAATTATCAAAATTTCAAGCAAAAAGAAAATTAGTCATACCAGTATTAGGAACGACCATCTTTTGTCATCAAACCAGCTTCAGTTCTTCCAGTACCAGTGGGACATTGTTTTGAATGAACCTAAAATCTGGGCTAACCACAGATGTAGACAGATGTAGTTTTGTCGACCCCTGGAGTGTCTCTTCAGACTAAGACATATTCCATGATCAGCGTTCTGTGTGGTTCATTCCAACACTTGCAGAGGTCTCTGTTCTTGGAGTCATTGTCCTACTGCAGCTCAAGTCCAATCAGGTGCAACCCTGATGTTTACACAGGATGGATTACCAAGAATGTATTTAGCGAACTCCAATAATTTGGTCTGTTTTACACCAATTCAGACCCAGAGTAGCATGGAACCATTATTGTACTACACCCTTGTAACTTGCAGAGTAACTTGCTACTGCTAAATCCAGTGATTCCCACAGTGGTGAGTGGGCCCCACCCAAGGAGGGATGGAGCAAGTGCAGGGGGGGACTTGGTGTGGGGGGCGCTGCAGAAGGTGTTTAGGAACTTCAGCCATCTTCTTACAGCAGCAAACAGAGAACCTGCTGCCATTTTATCTAACGCAGTTTTTATAATTCTTTTGCAAAGTTGACTCACAAGGCCTTGTTTCCACTTCCTGAATGGCTTTATATTTATTAATTATTTATTCACCTAAACTTTATTTGACCAGTTAGGTCAATTGAGATGACAATGCCATGTCACAAAGACGGCCAAGAGGCAACAAAAGAGGCATTTAGGTTATGGCTGCAATTGTTCAAAAATGACCACATCTGTGTACGATGAATTCATAACTGATAACAAAAAAATTAAATAAAATTAATGCATTTTATGGAAAGGCACAACAAAATATAAGCTGCACCCATTTGTGCAATATATTTGTATTTACAGTATATAATATATATACAGTATATTATATATGTGTGTGTATTTATCTACACACACGTGTATATACAGTATATACACACACAGACTAACGTGTATATACCTATATATGGATATATATACATGTATAGTAATATATATATATATATATATAAAGTCTGGGTTATAAACTGAGGCTGTGTCTCCATGTTATGCATTCCATGAAAACATTGGTACATACCAGTATCTTTCACAAAGGCCTAAGCATTTTTGCACAGTACTTTTTAATGCAGAGCATTGTAGGGCTCCAAATTGCCAAAGCACAAAAGAGTAGAAAAAAGAAAACACACCAGTGCTGTAACATAGTGTGTGGTGTATTGTTCTTAACAGAGGGTACAGGCCAGCCCCAGCTTAGCCGAGTGTTTCAGGATGTTCCGAAGCGGAGAGTCCTCTCTGATACAGCTTCACACGCAGGTCTGTCCCCTTCACACACAGAGACTTTAGCACGTTCTGTCTGTGTGGCATGTTTGTCTTAGGGTGAACTGTATCTATGTTGTGTGCCTGTGTATGTGTGTGTGTGTGTTTGCATTTATTAATATGTGGGCTGGCATACAGATATAAATGTGCCTTGAAGGTAACCACACAATTCCAGTGACTTGCGTCAAAGGAAAAGCCAGCATGTGTATTTAGGGATTTTATTGGTAGTTGTTATTCTGTGGGGAACATTTACTCCACCAACCCTTTAGCCCGCGTGCATGTGTTAACTCCAAAGGGACTAGAGAAATGCAGACAGTCCCTGCAGTGTAGTTTATGTGTAGCTCTGTAGTGAGATTGTTGTTCTTTGTTCTGTGCTATGATGTAATTATTAAACGTCCTTCTAGGCCCTGTTGTTGTTGTTCCTCCTCACCACCTCTGTAGTTGCTTATCTCTGCTCTTAATCTGACAAGGCTGTTGATGTCTTCCCATTTCTTATGTCTTTCCAACCAGGTAACATTACCGCCCGTGTCCGCACCCCAGAGGCAGGTTCAGATGAGGCCATCAAGTCTATACTGGAGCAGGCAAAAAGGGAGCTGCAGGTGCAGAAAGCTGGTGAGTTTTTAATCATCTCCAGAGGAGCTGACGCACAGAGGACGATCCATTATGACCGCGTGTTTCTGAAACTTTCATGACGCCTCTTTCTCTCCTCTCTCAACAGACTTGTCTCATACTCAGCCCTCATATGCAGGACTGAAAGGAGGGGGCGGGGGCGGACTAGGAGGCGGTGGGGGCAGTGGATCAGATGAGGCCATTCGCTCCATCCTAGAGCAAGCACGCAGGGAGATGGAGGCCCAGCAGGCGGCACTGGAGCCCATCCTCAAAGCTTCCTCCTCTTCTGCATCACTGTCTCAGAGGGATCTTCTCAATTCCCCACTCACCGCCCCTCTACCTCCTTACAACCCCTTGGCATTATCCCTCAAGAAGCCCCCCAGCTCTCTACTGTCTTCGCCTTCATCTCCATCTCCAGTCCTTGACTTCAGCTGCAATGTGAAGAGAGAGGGCAGGACTTCTTCAGGAATTGACATGTCTCTGGACGGAGCTCTTAGGCTGGGCCGGGGCTCAGAGAGTTCAGCTCGCTCGGGGTCTTCTGGGGGTGTGAGTTATTGGAGAGAGCAGTGGTGGAGCAACATGCACGCAGAGCCTCGCAGAACCTCATCCAGCCAAACAGGAGAGGAGAACCACCACCTGGAAGACTCCAAAGAGGTAGAAGAGGAAGTAAATGTTTTTGTTTCTTCGTGGCTGTCGTCATCCACAGATGTACTTGATAACCTTTCCCTGGTGTTCTTTAGGGAATACTGACTGACAGTCTGTCTCGACAAAAACCATGGAACAAGTTGAACCAGCGGAGCAGAGAGCCATACCTTCGCATGCAGCCATGGATCAATGGAGACCAGGGACAAAACACCCACATCCAGTCAACTCAGAACCAAGGTAAACAAATCACATGCTGCACACGCACACACACACATACACATACACATATTCTGGCACTGTATATTTGGACTCACAGTCTCTGGGCTGTAGCATTACTTGCAGAGTCTGATTAGAGCTAGTGGCTTGTTGGTGCTCTCAGTCACCACCACAAATACGAACACACACACACACACAACAACAACAACCCACCAACCCACCCCTGCATTCCATGTCACTCCCGTCTCCCCCTTTTCTTTCCACCACTCCCCCAGTGCTGCAGAAGTGTCAGCCAGCAAGCTGCTGGTTTGTCATGTCATAGACAAGTTAGTATTGCAGCGCCAGATGGCAGCTCTGCGTATGTATGTGTGTGTGTGTGCGTGCATGTGTGTCTCTCTTTCTCTCTGGGGGTGTAAACAGCAGCTAATGTGCACTGACAGCTCCTCGTGACTGCTCTCTTCCAGCCTGCTGAGCTGCACAGCAGTGTTACACAGACACAGGCGGGGAGATGAAGGAATTGGTGGAGGGAGCCAAAAAAGCTTCAATATGAAAACTTTAGCACCTTTGCTGTTTGTTTAACAGAAGTCAAATTAGCTGATGTAGTTTGACTGAAGTTCCTCCTCTTCCAAACCCAGCAGGAGGCAAAGATAAAACGCAATTCTCTCGGAAACACTTCTCCTAACCTGCGTGATATTTTCTTATTCTCCACTTGCACAGAGGGAACTCCCAAGACATCAGCAAGTTGCAGCCCTGCTCCAGAATCACCCCTCAGTTCAACTGAAGAGTCCATCAACGGTCTCTCTGGTGACCCACTAGCCTCACAGTCCTCCAGTATCAAAGCTCCTTCTGATGATCCCTCTGGGGGAGAGTCTCAGCCTGGCACCCCGCTGCCTCTACCTGGTCACACAGGTCTCAGCATTCAGGAGCTGGTAGCAATGTCTCCTGAGCTCGATACATATGCCATCACCAAGAAGGTTAAGGAAGTGTTGACTGACAATAATCTTGGTAAGAACTACTGGGTTCTTAGAATTGTTTATACCAGGGGTTTTAAAGATGTAACATAGGGCTGTTCTCGGAAAACAACCTGTTCAAAACCCCTTTCTTGTTCCTAACCAGGCCAGCGTCTGTTTGGTGAGACCATCCTGGGTCTAACTCAGGGTTCTGTCTCAGACCTGCTGGCCAGGCCTAAACCTTGGCACAAGCTCAGCCTGAAGGGCAGAGAGCCCTTTGTCCGCATGCAGCTCTGGCTCCAGGATCCACACAGTGTGGAGAAACTCATGGACATGAAGCGCCTGGAGAAGAAGGGTATGTTGTTACTGATCATTGAGGATCAGTACACTCGGTACAGTGCAGAATGTGGAGAGGAATATTAAAGACTGACAGGTCTTTTTTTTTTGTTGCAAAAATCAGTTGACAGAAAAAGCAAACACTAGGGCTCTTGAATTGCACAATCGTTTCTGCACAAAGTAAAATTCCTTTTGTGAGGACGAGCAGAGCATGTTGTGCAGATCACAGTCATCTTGATGTGATGTCGGTACCAATCACAGCTGCAGATGTTACATATTCGATTCGATGTGACAGCCAGGCGACTGCCAGGGGGGCCTGCTTACTCACAGTCATCAGCATTCTTCTTCATCATCGTCATCACCATAATGATCATCAGTGTCTATATGTTTGTATTTTTATCATTTGTTAGCCCACAGGCCACTCTCTCTGTCATTATTTATTATTTAAGTGTCAGCCAAGCAAAGAAAGCCTTGCACGTCTGTCATTATTTATTATTTGTCAGCCAAGCAAAGAAAGCCTTGCACTGCTCACAGCCTCAGATTAACCTTAACTCCTCGTTTGAACTTTTCCTTTATGCAGCTGCACATTTTAATCTTCTTTAAACTCAAACATCAAGCAGCAATGCACCAATAATATCCCGAACCAAAAAAAGGTCATTAAAAAAAACCCCAATAAACCCAGCTTTAACATCTTTGGGGGAGGGAGGGTGCGACGGTTATTGTCTATTCACCTTTGTTTTTGGATATTGACCCTAAAGTAATGCATTCAAACAGCACTGGTGAATAGACCTGTCTGACAGCAGAGCCTGGGGAAATAACTAAGTGATGTGGACTTCTTCAGAGTAATAATATTTGACCTCTCCTACTGGGGGGCGTGAACAGGGGCTTCAGCATTGTTTTCACCTTGCTCTGAGGCCTTTTCTATGCAGTAATATATCTGGTGGCCGATTTTGGGTTTGAGGAAATGTCACATTCATGCAAAGCTGCCACGAGATGTTCCTTTTAATCCTGATGATGCCTTCAGGGAATCATCCTGCTTTTTATTTTTACTCTGAAATGAAGGGGTTCACAGTATTGTTTTATTTTTGCCGAGCAAGGTAACAGCACCATCTAGTGGCAGTTTATGGTGCTTAGCGCAGTGTTTTGTGACCGAAACACCTCTGGGCCCACGAACATAACATAAACTAATGTAACTAATAACATAAACTAACTAACTCATATTTTCCAACGTCAAAAATATCAGATTTATGCTATCTATCTATTATGCTAAGCTATCTGAAAAAAACATTTTAATTGGTATAAAATATATCTCAAATATATATCATACGTGTTTCTATCTCCACTCATTCCTAGTTTCCACTGTCCATCCATAAATGTCCACCTTCTACTTTGCGGTCAGATTGTTATTTATACTACTGTATGATTTTTGTTAGTGTCTTTCGGACTCACTGACCCTCCGCCCTCTTGTGATTCTGTGTTTGTTCAGCCTACATGAAGAGGCGACTGAGCTCCCTGAGTGACAGCCATTCTGTGGACGTTGGCCTGGTGGGGACAGACTACATGCAGGGCTCTCAGAGTCCTGGACAACAGCATCTGAAGAAACCCAGGGTGGTGCTGGGCCCCGAGGAGAAGGAGGCTTTAAAAAGGGCTTACCAGCAGAAACCTTACCCTTCTCCTAAAACCATTGAGGAGCTGGCCTCCCAGCTCAACCTGAAGACCAGTACTGTCATCAACTGGTTCCATAATTACAGGTCAGTGGGGCCAGAGAGCTGACTCAATATAGGACTTATACCAACATAAGTTACATATATTAGTATAGTTAAATAAATTCATTTTTATTACATTGATCCTACATGTTTCAGAAAGTGACTCATTTAGTTTGATGTTAAAAAATCTTTTGTGTTTTTTGCCTTATAATCTGATCTTCATTGTCATAAATGAAACACTAAACTAGTTGTTTAGATGAAATTTAAAATCTCCATCTTTAGTTAGAGGCATTCTCATTTCATATAAATAAATCCTAATTTACCAAAAAGCAATATTTCACATGATATGTATTCACTTAATTTTTCTCCGCTAAATCAGTAAATATTTTAGGGTGCATTAGTGCCACCTTCTGGAACTGGAGTGTGACTGAGACAGGTGTCATTTAATGCCTTATTAGTAATAAATCAATCAAAATAAATACATTTAAATTCCAAGCTCACCTTTAACTGTTAAAATATAAGCGTTACTAATTACTCATCAAACCCATGTGTTCCTTTTTAGGTCACGAATTCGACGAGAACTTTTTATAGAGGAGATCCAGGCAGCTGGAGGCGTAGGAGGGCCTGGCAGCGACGCGGGGTCTCCTTCCCTTCGTGGCTCCAAATCTGGAGAAGGGGACAGCTGCGATGGAACAGAATCTGAGGGTACTGTGGAGATACGCCAGGGACTGGGCATCGGTCTGGACGATCAAAGTGGAACGTGCAAAGACCAGGATATGGAGGCTGAGTCCGAGGCAGGGGGCTCTAATAACTCCCCCGCTCAGACAGACTGCACCAGCTCAGGCTTAGCCGGCCCAGGCTCCAGCTGTGGACCAGGTGGACTGGCACTCTTTGGCCTCACAGAAGCATCCTCCAGCAGTCAAGCCTCTAGTACCAACATCCCAGCCTCTGGCCCTGCCAGGAATCCCAGGGACAACAATCTGCGCAAGAAGAAAGCAGCCAATCTCAATAACATCATCCACAGGCTGGAGAAGGCCGCCAGCAAAGAGGATCCTTCAGAGTGGGAGTTCTAGCTCCTCCTGACCACACGTCCTTCCTCCTGTCTCATAACCTCACGACCTCTAACCTTGGACCCCTCCTACTCTGTTCCAGTTGGAGAGTGGACACAGCCAAAGTCAAGCTCAGCAGCCATTTTTAATAAACACAAGCTTTCCACAAAGAGGAAAGATTGACACAAAGAGTGGTTGACGAAACCCTTAAAGAAGAAGATTTTACTGAAAACCTAGAAGAACAAAGCAAGAGATCTCACGTGTCTCTCCTTTTTTTAAGAAAAAAAAAGAATAAATAATGAGTTTTGTTTTTGTACTGAGAAAAAGCACTTAGCCGTCCTGCTGGCCTCTGGCCCTGCTGTACCTCCCCCCCCTATCACCAGCCACTGGTGCACCAGACTGGTTAGTCCTGAGCTGGGGTCTGACCCACAGCTGGGGTTGAAACCTGGACTCAGTCACACAGGCAAGGCCTGACACAGCAACTGTCACAGTGATAGACACTGATAGATAGAGAGATAGATGGAGAGAAAGAGAGAGAGACAGACGCTCTCTTCCAAGAACTCTTGCTTTCTCACAGGAGATTTCCGCTCTTCTTCACACCTCCCAAGTGTCCACAAACCTCCCCTCACTCAGTGAGAACGCCTCATTTTTCACACTGTAGAGTGACTGTTACAAACCCTTTGCCTTTTTCACTCACTACGTGTGTGTGTCGGTGTGTTAGGGGTTGTTTCAAAGTGTACCTGTTTGTGTGTGTGTGTGTGTGTGTGTGTGATCACACCAAAATATGGTGTGTGTCTACTCAATGGCAGCATGTTTTTCTTTTGTTTTTTTTGTTTTTAATCTAACTTCTACACTCTTAAGAGGGTAGTGACAGGCCGGTGTGCCCAGCTGCCATGGTTACTGATGTAAGAAAGACGAACTTTGACCTGTTGTGTCCCATATCCTATCCTGCTGACAGCCATGTGATGGCCAGAAGGATCTTCAATTCCTCAGCAACACACGCACTCATCTGACGAGGAAGGAGGGAAGGAAGAAAGGAAGGAACCCTCTTTTTAGCCTCCTTAAACCCTTCTTTTTAACAGTTGAAGGATGATCTCTTTTTAATATTGCAATTTGGTTGCCAATAAGAGATTGCACAGTCTATTGACTCTAAAGAGTACAAACTAGGGAATTTTAGCAAGCATTTTTAATTAGTACACAATAAGAAACAGCAAAGTAAGAGAACGACAAAGTTACTGTTTTTGAAAGAAGAAGAAAAAAAATCACATTAGAATGGATTCATGTTGCGTTGTTAAAATACGATACAGTGAATTTCACGTAGTACTGTAGCTGTCTGACATGGTGATACTGTACGTGTCTATTGTTGTTGTAGGTTGTGCACGTCACAGCTTTACCCAGCACTGGACCTGCTGGGTGTGTGTGTGTGTGTGAGAGAGTGAGTGTGTGTTTGTGTGTGTATGCACACCACAAACAGTTTCTCTCTGTTCACAAACACGTTTTTTATAGGCCAAAAGATATAGCTGTGAAGTGACCCGTGTGTGTGTGTGTGTTTTTGTATTTGCATGAAAGTAAATCAGGGTCGAGGTCAATTCACTCAGTTAAATTTGGAGGGAAAAAAAAAGAATTTCATATATATGTATATATTCATATATACATATATATGAAATTTGTGACTGAAACGATTGGGTTTTTACCAGAAAAATGTCTTGCAATGTTCAGTTGTTGATGAAATCTGCCATCAAAGTGAATTCACCACAATCCTGGTGTGAGAAGTGACCACTCTCCTCCAGTCTCTCCTGTATCCAGGGATGTTGAGTCTTTTATTTTTTGTTTTTGCATCGAGTTCTACTGTAAACACTACAAATTCTACAAAGGCATATCACCTCCTCCCTGTCCCACACGAGCCCTCAGTGCCTGTCAGCCCACTGCCTCCCCCTGTGTGTGTCTGCGTGTGCGTGCACGCGCCTGCTCGTCGATCCACGCGTGTGCGACTGAGGAGTGTGGAGTGTCCAATGAGCGGGGTCATATTTCGTATATCTACTCGCACACACTACTAGTGCACAACTGACACCCTTCTTTAAGCTGTTTGATGCGTTACCATTACATTAATCTTATCACAAAGTAGTGTAATACTATGATTTACTGTAGCTTTGGTTTCTGTTTTTGCTATTTTTTTGCATTTATAGTTTGGTTTTTATTCTGCTTATTTATAGGTGCTGTATTTTTTTTTTCATTTTAATGTCTTATCATTTGAATTGTCTATTTTGTTAAGGGATTATACTGTTCCTGAGGGCAAGTAACATTTTTATTAGACGTATAGACTGCCGGCAGTATTGGTTAATATTTACAGAGATGTACTAGTTCTCATTTGTTTGTATATTCATGAAACCTTAAGTTTAGTGTCATTTCAATAGCTTTGGAGAGAAAAAAAAAACATGTGTTTGCAACAGTTCGTGCTCCCTCAAGCGTTAAGCTTTTTACCACAACAGTCATGCTCTTAAATGCTAGCTAGAGAATCAAAGGACATATCAAGATCAGTGATTTTATGATACTATATCTCTTTTCCTGTTTTCTATTCTGTCATGTTGGAATTTCCTTTCCGTTGTTCTTGTCCTCGTCGTTGTTGTAGTTGTTTTTGGGTTTTTTTTGTAATTTGGATCGTTTCTTGAGGCAAGCCCAACACTAACGCTCGGCAGGGCACGCAGCTTTCGTTAGCGTTTGACCACTCGCTAATTCCCACTGACGTCACAGATAGGTCCAAACAAATAGGTCAAATGAAATCACCCTGAACTTGAGAAACACAGGTGAACTTGAAATAGGTCATATCTGCCAAATTGAGATTAGAGAAGTGTACCAGCTAGCAGGTGTGCTATGCCAGATGAAACTCAGATAGCCAACCTATGATTATGCAGAACTTCTGTTGCAGTCCGTAACAAAGCACTTATTAGGATATTTTTCGAAGACTTAACCTTAAGGACAGGGTCTGTAAACACTACAGCGGAGCGCGTGATTATCCCAGGATAATCCAGGGAAATGTTTGCCTTTTATAAAACGTGGTTGTGAACCAAGCACAGACTCTTATCCTCAAACTGACACTAAAGCAAAGAAAACACATCATAGCCCAACCCCCCCCCACCCCGCCCTTTTTTCTACAAGAGAATTTTCACAGAGCAGAAATGGCAGGTGACTGTGTGACAGAAAGACTTGGTCCTGTACATTTGTACATATGATGATAATGAATTTACGCCTGGTTAGGTCTAAATCTAAAACCCTGGTCCCTCCTGAGTTCCTACCATTTTTTTTTAAATTAGCAGCAGTGTAATATGTACAGTATATGTAATAGCACTGCAGTTGGATGCACTGATTAGAATTGGATTTCGTGACGCATCCGATGGTTTTAAAAATCCTCCAACGTTGTCTTTACGTGTCAAACGATGGATGTTGAAATATCCCTGGTCTGCGGAGTCAACGTTGGACGGCTCTGACTGGACGACCACAGTATAATTGATGGTGATTAATAGCTACTGTAAAAAATAAGCACTTAACCCATGAGCCATTTTATAGCCAGATCCATCACTTCACCTTAAATCGAGTGAGATCATCGGATTTGTGCCTTTAACTGCCAAGCAGGGCACCGGACTAGTGATGTCATTAGACGTTGACGATTTCACCCCGTTTGTTCCGTCATCAACACATCTTCATTTCACCTGCACTTCGTAAGGCGAAGGCGTTAAAAAGTCACCTGATCTCAGCTATCTCTCTGCAGAGGGTTGTATGTAATTGCTGGAGCAAAGTCAAACAAGAAACAAGCGTGTGTGTGTGTGTGTGTGTGAGAGAGAGAGAGAGAGAGAGAAAGAGCATGTGTGTTTGTGTGTATTCTTATGACTGACCTGTAGAGTTGCTTAGGTCTTATTTCACACAAGTTTTTGTTTCCCACAATGCATTTCTTATGTTGTACATAACTGAACTAGCGGCAAAAAAAAGTCAAAGGTCAAAGCATTGAATGAAGGAGGGAACGTGCAGCAGCAGCGTACACTGTAATAACACTGAATTTCTTCATAGGGCATTTTTGTATGTTTCTGTTTGTGTCAGGTTTGCTGTGACATTAAAAAAACGGCACTACAGGTATTGATAATGACTCGTGCCAATTCTGATGGAAAAGAGAGCTGCGTGAGTGAGTGCGTGTGCGTGCGTGTGTGTATATATATAAATATATATATATATATATATATACAGTGGATAAAGTAGCTAACGATTCACTCTTGTCACAGTTGTAGTGCTTTTTGTCGGACGGCAGGAGGAGAGAAGGGACGATTCAGGACTTTTTCCATGATCCACAGATATTTTTCTACAAATTTAAATCAGATGATTCTATACACTGTTGAATAACATTGTAAAGGTGTAACAGATGCTGTATATCATATCACGTTTTTTCTGAAGTCGTAAAGCTTTACTGTATGATCCGTTGAAGTAGTGCGTTTTCATTCTGACATGTCAGTCGTCACAGAAGCCCAAACAGCAGCACTGGTCACCGTATTCAGGAAAAAAAAGAAAAAAGAAATGAAAAGAAAAGAAAGAAAATGGAGAAAGAAAAAAAAAACTCAGATGTTTTTTGTAATACTTTTAGAATATATCTTATGAAGTGGGTTTTTGTAAGGAAACACGTTCCCAAATCAGTGGTGCTGTATGCATAGCACACTCAGTAACACATACACACATAGTACAGCACAATAGTCATCCTTCAGACCTCCCCTCCCCCAGTCACCTTTCAGCTCCCGCTGTGGCTCCAGCATTTTAAGTCTTAAAATGTCTATATTTTTAATCCTCTGTAGCACATCATCAGTTCACTCAGATAATTCCAAATCAGCTCTGGATCTGTTCACATTTCACTGAAGTTAAAAGAGGAAGCAAAAAAAAAAAAAGCCAAATAGTTTGAGGTAGTTTCTTTTCCCACTTCTGTGTGTTTAAATGTTGCAGACAGCTTTCTGTACGTTGCTACCTATTGTCGTCTCTTCAGTTCACCCATAGCTTCAACCACAGTGTAGTCTGACAACCAAATAAATGACCCGGGGAGACCTTCACCCCTCCTCCCCCACCCGACCCTCCCTTTATGGAAAGCTTTAAGATGCTTGTTGAGGCTTTATAATAAAAAGTTCAGAGTGTTTTTAGATGAAAACTTTCCCCAACGTACCATCAGCAATGTGGAAGTAATAATTCTCATAACCTGTCCCCACTGCTTTTTTCTATGAGTGTTTGTGTGTGTGTGAGTGTGTGTACAGAGCTGCATGACTGTAAAGGGATGGTTAAGACCTTCATTTTAATTTGACAGAGTTGTTTCCCGAGCACTCGTGCCACTCCTTAGATGTTTCTTTCTCTTCCTCCTCATGTATCAGCGTTTCCTCACGGTTCTGTTTGACTAAAACCTATCATGTTGTTTGTTCTCAGCACTGTAAAACAGTCCCTTCTACAACATTGAAAAAAAGCAATATCACTGTATGAAACGCTCACAATGTATTTGTTATTATTGACATTTGATTCATCATCATTATTATTATTATTCACATGCACCCTAGGTGTGATAATTGAAGTAAATCTCTTTTATACAAATACTACAGGTGTGATGTGGTTGTTTTTCTTGTTGTTGTTTTTTTTTTTTTGTGGGAGACATGGATAATTTGTTAAATAAGTATTCTCAGAGAAATAGATCTTTAGGAAAGTAAAACTGTGGCTCATGTAAATCCTAATTCCTCTGCCATTGTTGCTTGTTACAGGTGAGTAATTATTTTAATGTTGAATAACGCAGTGACGCTTTCTGATAGAATTTGTAAATGACCCTGTTCTGTTTTTTTCCACCCCCTATAGGCCGCTATGCAGACTTGCAGGTGGAGTTTTCATCTGCTGTGCGAACCAGTGCTGAACAGAAGGAGCTGATCCTGAAGCTGGAGCATGACCTGAGCACCATCCAGGCCATGTCGTCACTGTCACGCCCTGATGCTGACGGGTCAGAGGTGGCCAACATGGGCCGCATCCCGGAGCCCATTAAGGAGGCCACGGCCATGTTCACTAGTACAGACCTGGGTTTGTAACAGTTATAGCGCATTTGGCTCCAGCTATTCTGCTGCCCTGGGCAGGTGGTGATTTGGCGCCTCCTATC